ACCTACAAAATTTCTGTCAGTATCAGATAGAAATATCCTAGAAGATACATTCCTGTTCAGCTTGCATGCAGTGCTGGGCCGTATTCCGTACTGCGGAGGTTTTAACTAGTTGTAACCTCGTTACTCAGGTCCAGAAAGAGGAGTGTTGCTGCACCAACGTGCACTAAAAGATTTCTTCTAGATTTACTCTAGAAAATTGCTATCGGGGAATCACATTCAAAGTATTCCTATCTGTTAGCGTTTTCCACACCTACTGTAAGTGCGCATGTTCACCTAAAAAGATTTGGTCGTAGGAACGTATCAAGGGTCTCACGGCCGCCCCGGGCGTGTAGATGGCGAACTGCAGAAATGGCCTTCTTGGGCGTCAATTCAATTTCGTGGGCAGCCGCGCGTTCATCAACACGGGACTCCTAGGTCAGTTGATCAGTGTATTTATTACTGCACATCAGTGCAAAGTCAGTCTGGTCATGCTATTAAGGTTACAATTTTCAGTCTTCATATTCGCCTTCTTATGCCTGTATACTCTTCAACAAGGTTCGTCTGTGCATCTTAACACTCATTTTGAATCATGACCCAAAATAATAGAGACAATATCAGTCCACCAAACTGGAATGCTCATTTACATCCATAAACGCGTGTTAATGTCCTTTCAATGTCACCATGTCGACATTAATATATCGACTAGATATTTGCAATTATCGATATAGCCTGGCATCTGCATGTCCAGTTATCACAAAGGTGGCGAAAATGGTTCGGAACAATCTGCAAACGACACGGATATTTTATATACGTAGCCTGTAGAGTTCTATAACATTCCTATTTTGCTGAAACTCATTTGGCCTACTGTGTTTCCTCGCGTCCTCTTCCTAACGGTAACTTTAAAGCTAATTGGTAGTCCATCAATCTGAAGGAGACGACAATAAAATGCCTTTAGAAGGTTAATTGGACAAATAATTGGATTTTTTTCATGTACAAGGTATGGCTGACGGAGTTTTGTTATCATATTTGTATTTGTAATCAGGGAGATTAATTTGCGCTTTTGCACTTTTCTTGGTTGTGGTCAATCTTCTAAAATATTGAATTGTTTGTCCATATCCAGCCGAACTCGCAAACGAAACAATACATGCTAGGTTCATCAACTGCTGCTTTGTCTAAATTATAAGGCTGAACTAGCCGGAAAAGGGAGTCAGAACTGACGTACTTGATGATTCACACGCTTCCGTACTCGGTGGTTTCCTGAGGGACTATCGCATATCAGCCTTTAATCATTAAGTAATTACGGAAACCATTGGTTCATTTGTTGAGTTTGTCAGCGATTGTTGGCGTAAAGTCCTACCTCCAAATATCTTTTTCTCGGAGGAATTTCTCAACGAAATTACACCTTTTTTTAAATTCTGTCAGGCTTCAGGCAGCTGCCTCCCTTTTCTTGCTGTTGATAGTCTCTTCAACGTATGGCTTCCGGACATATGATTATTCCGCGTGCTGTAACGCATGCTTAGATAAATCGTATGAATGCGGGACACAAATTTAACGAATTAAGCTCATTATTGGACCACCTGTCTTTCTGTTTCTTTCAACTGAAATGGCTCCCTGTACGTGAGTGTCTTCAGCAACATCCTTATTTCACAGGTTCGAATTGTTCAGCAAATTTCCACAATATATTTCATGATTGATGGGCAAGATTTATTCTCTTGTTCATTATGCTCTGCGCATGCCCCAAAAGTTTCTCCATTGCGTGCCTTGTTGCTGAAATACCCGGCGACAATGTAACTTACGTTTATAAAGAAGGGGTATTCATTGAGATGTAAGGCACCTTTCTTTGCTGCTATGTATGTCAATATACAACAAATATTCTCGCTAGTTAATCTGATACCGATCACATGGTTGCTTCAATACGCCGTCATTTATGTTTTCATGCGAACTTTCGATGATCCGACAGTCCGGCAGTAGAAAATGGCGTGGTCTTGCACTCTCGCAAAGCACGATGTTGATTTGCTTGGAAAGTTGTTTGTTGTTAAGCCGATTCGTGCAGCGTTTGCTTTGTTCATCGGTCCCATATCCAGTTGATAACCATGGATGCCATGACTAATAAACTAGGCAACTGATTTACGCATGTCACAGACTACATGTATCAGTTTTTGAGGAGCTGGTCTTAAATCCTACATAAGGTTAAATCCTACAAAGGTTACAACCAATTACAGTTCCAGTTAGTCCATAAAAGGCCAAGAATATCTGGTCTATGACTGTCCCTTAATCGGTCGTAATGGTTTCAGAGCATCTCTTATTATTTATTGTGATGAAACTAAGCGGTAAACCGCCTTTGCACTTCGCTCTTTCTTCCCCATGAGCCACTGGTTGGC